AATCGGTTGATCCGTGCGCCCGAAAACGTGGACGAAAAATTGTATCCATACATACATACACACACACACATCCATTTTTCTGAAACATGCCAAAATATTCAGAAACCTTCAAAACGTCGAGAAATGTAAAAATTTTCGATTTCGATTTTTGGACGATTACAATAACTTACCCTACGGGAAGTTAAAAAAGTGAAAAGAAAATAGTACGGTAGCCAGCAACGTTTTTGAGCAAGCATTTTAGTCAAGCTGGTTTTTTGGTATGTGGTCCTTGGTGCTCTCTCGGTTAGGGTAAGGGCCGTCTGGCAGCTGGAAGTGGTTGCGTTAATTAGTGCGCAGCCAATTTGTACAGCGCGATTTCAAAATTTTGAAAGCATTTTAGTCAGCCCAATTTTCGTTTTTTTGACTTCGAATAGGTTCACCAGACTCAAATTTTTTGTTGCCAGACATTTTGGGCGCTGCTAAATATGTGCCAGACGCCAATTTATTTATTAATTTATTAAAAAATTCAAATCATTTTAGTCCGTCTGAAATTTTAGTATTATGTTCGTTTAGGGTAAAAACACGTAAAATTAATTTGCCAGACGTTTCTGCGGTTGTTAACCATGTCTGGCAAGCAAAAATGTCTGGCAATATGATACTAGTTTATAGCATTTTAGTCAGTCCAATTTTCATTTTTTGACTTGATATTTGATTTGATAACTTGAATAAGTTATCCAGATTCACATTTTTGTTGCCAGACATTTTGTGCGCTGCCAAATATGTGCCAGACGCCAATTTATTCATTTTTTTTTTTAATTTCAAATCATTTTAGTCCGTCTGTAATTTTAATATTATGTTCATTAAGGGTCAAAAAACATAAAATTAATTTGCCAGACGTTTCTGCGGTTGTTAAGAATGTCTGGCAACGAAAAAAGTCTGGCAATATGATACTAGTAGACAGAGTGAGACAATCGCTAAATACATTGGCGCGAATGAAACAAAAAACTATTATACTCGTAAGAGCGCTATATGTTTACTAGGCAGAAAACCGTAAGAAAAATCAAGTAACTACATTAGACAGATGTGTTTGTTATAAACTTCTCTGCAAAATTGTGTTTATACCATTTTTCTTTAGAGTCACCGTTTCTTACAAACTGCCATCTGGAAAGTTAAAAAATTCATATTTCTCATAATATGCAGCCTTTATAAATACATCATCGAAGGTGAATTATGAGTGAAAAATAAAAATCCATTGATTTGTTTTGGATAGATGAGTTTAACGAGTCTTTTGATATATCACATTGTAGTATTATTGTCCCTGTGTGGGAGGTTCGCATACCTGATTGTTTTGAAAGAATTAATCGAAATAATTATGTATAAATGAATGCGAGGCGTGTTATAACATCCAAAGTGCTTAAACATTTATCATATTAAGCCATAAGACGAATAAATCTGTATAATAGACGTTTTTATTCGTTGTTAAAAAAAACGATATTCCCAATTATAATCTTGATTTAAGAGACCTAGGTCGAATGACTATCATTATATAGTAATACATATTGATCTAAAATGAACCCATTTGAATTTTTGAATTATTAAATACACTTCGATTTTTAAAAAACAGTGCTCAATTTACAGGTGAAAGGGCGGAAATGAAAAGCTGAAAGAAAAAAGGGCGGATAATGTTTGCTGTACAATATATATTGTATATATTATATATATATATATTAGAATTTTAAGATTCTATTCTAGGGGTAGCTCGAACTGGTAAGGTAGCAAAACTAGTATTATCAGTATTAAGTATAGGTATGTGTTACAATTAGTTGCTGCTAAAGCCATGTAATATGTACAAGTACATGTACCAATAATATTACAAGTATCATGTAAAATGAAGTCATTCGACTCAGTTAACTTAGTGATAAAAAAAAAATTGCGTACAGCAAAATGATTATTGTCAGTTCTCATTGCAAAACTTAAAATATATGATATTCTTAGGAAATTGACGATGTTACTTAACCACTGTCGAGTCAAATTTTTCAAAATAATAACAGCAATATTTTAGAATCATTAACATATTTTTTACAGCTAGTAAAATTAAAAAATTGACTAATATGATGCAATTTCTTTGTCTTTTCTAATTAGGTCTTTATTTAACTTTATTTTATTTGTTTTATGAAAATGTTATTGAAATTGCACTAACTTTAAATAGCGCTCTTACGAGTATAATAGTTTTTTTGTTTCATTCGCGCCAATGTATTTAGCGATTGTCTCACTCTGTCTACTAGTATTATATTGCCAGACTTTTTTCGTTGCCAGACATTCTTAACAACCGCAGAAACGTCTGGCAAATTAATTTTATGTTTCTTGACCCTTAATGAACATAATATTAAAATTACAGACGGACTAAAATAATTTGAAATTTAAAAAAAATTAATGAATAAATTGGCGTCTGGCACATATTTGGCAGCGCCCAAAATGTCTGGCAACAAAAATGTAAATCTGGATAACTTATTCAAGTTATCAAATCAAATATCAAGTCAAAAAATGAAAATTGGACTGACTAAAATGCTATAAACTAGTATCATATTGCCAGACATTTTTGCTTGCCAGACATGGTTAACAACCGCAGAAACGTCTGGCAAATTAATTTTACGTGTTTTTACCTTTAACGAACATAATACTAAAATTTCAGACGGACTAAAATGATTTGAATTTTTTAATAAATTAATAAATAAATTGGCGTCTGGCACATATTTAGCAGCGCCCAAAATGTCTGGCAACAAAAAATTTGAGTCTGGTGAACCTATTCGAAGTCAAAAAAACGAAAATTGGGCTGACTAAAATGCTTTCAAAATTTTGAAATCACGCTGTACAAATTGGCTGCGCACTAATTAACGCAACCACTTCCAGCTGCCAGACGGCCCTTACCCTAACCGAGAGAGCACCAAGGACCACATACCAAAAAACCAGCCTGACTAAAATGCTTGTTTTGAAAACGTTGCTGGCTCCTATACTAAAATGCCATTTTGGGGTCAAACATGATCATTAGACATATGCATCATAGATATTTTAATAAGAATAAATGTTTACATTTCAATGGGTTCGATACCATGCTTATCTGTTAGACAGAGATGCGGCGCTTACGCGCAATGATATTTCGTTTCTATGTAGGTTTAAAACAAATTTCAAAATTTCCAAAATATTTCAAAATATTAAAAGTACAAATTTTTCAAAAGAGTCAAATATTTTCAAAAATCTATTTTTTTCAAAAATTTTAAAAATACTTTAAGGCTTTAAATAATTTTAAATCACGGTACAGGAAGTTCTTGCAATTTTTCTTGAGGCCCGATGCTATGCATTAGCTATGTTTTTAATTCGAATCGATCGAACCAAGAAATTTCCGAGTCGGTACACCACTAATATTTACATTTATTAATATTGAATCAAACACACTCCACAGTAATATCTAATAAGTTAAATATAAAACTCGGAGTCCCAAGGTCTCTATTCTTGGTCCCTTATTATTCTTAATTTATATTAATGATTTGCCAAATTGTACCGATCTTTGCAAATTTATTTTTTTTGCCGACGATACAAGTTTAATTATTAAAAGAAAATCTTTTGAGGAAGTCAGTTTTAATTGGTTCAACTCTAATAATCTTTTACTTAATAACGATAAAACTAAAATAATGTCGTTTCGAACAGTCAATAGGATTAATAACGAAATCAATTCCCTGATTATTAACGATGTCCTCTTCAATTTTTCTGCCGTTTCTAAATTCCTAGGAATTCAAATTTAAAAAAATTTAAATTGGGATGATCATATTTATTCGTCATTAATACCTAAACTTTCCAGAACTTGTTTTATGTTAAGAGTGCTTAAATCTAAAATTAGTTTAAATTGTCTTCTTTCTATCTATTACTCCAACTTCTACTCGCATTTGGTCTACGGCATTCAATTTTGGGATTTTTCAGCATCCTTAAAACATGTTTTCAAACTTCAGAAAAGAGCGCTAAGAATCATGTTCTCTCTTAACTCGATGACAAGTTGTAGAAATATATTTCAGAAGTATAACATTCTTACCGTTCTTAACATATTCCTACTTATTACACTTCTTTTTATAAAAAATAATCCCCAGTACTTTAATTTATCTTCCATTTCTGATTCCCACTATATCACAAGAAATAGAACTATCAAAGGATCGACTTTTAAGCTTAATAGTACTCTTAATTCAATTGATGGTTTTGGTATTCAACTAAGCAATCATAAATTCCACAACGATTTGATTAATTTACTAAAAGCCAACAGCGGGTATGAACACGGGGTATTCTAATATTGTCTAGGGCCAACAGTTTTTATGACATTTCTGAATATATTAATTTTGACTTCAAGAAATACAGTGGTACCATCCCCTTCATATTATAAATATCTATTGTTACTAATTATATGTGATATCTTACGAATACAGTAATTTTTGGCTATAACTGAGTATTACTTAGCTATGAAATATTTTTCTTCGTCTCTGATACTGCTCTTTTTTTTTAGAAAAGCTTCTAAACTTTTTAATAATTTCTGCGACTTCAACTTTTGAAGATGCTCTAAACGAAGACGTAATATCAAGTTTCATAAAATCAAGACACAAAATTAAATTAGTTTAGCACCTTTATTTGTATTTTATATTTGGTAGTTTTGTTATTTAATTGTAAAATTGTGAATAGTATATCTAATACATCTAAAAACAAACCAGTGCTGCCACCTGTGATGCACCTTTAAAACCCATACAAAAATATAAACATACACTTAATCGCACATAACCTCAATAACGCAATGTCAGTTACGTGCCTTCAAACAAATTTCTAAAATAGTTTCATTTTTATTTTTTTTACTCACATCATTCAAAATTTTAGTGGAATTATATCAAACAAACCTCACTCTACAACACAATTACAAAAAAGCTTTCGCACATAATACTATACACATTTAGAAATTCTAAAAATAAACAATATTTTGAAAGCGACCAAAATAAGATCATGTGTCAAACTTATTAAAAGAAACATCATAAATAAAAAATAAAGTCGTGCTTAAATGTGAAACCTCTACAATTAATAAATGTGTCAAAAAGGTTATTTTTATAAAAGGCACAGAACGAAATTTGGGAGGCCCATATGAATCGAATTGTGGCTTCTTTAAATGGTTCTGTAGGAACCAGAGGCTTCGATATTGGGGGACAAGATAAAAGGAATTCACCGCCGATATGTGGTCAGAAAGCATCGCCTGTTAAATGTACCAGAATTGTTGCACCAGGTAATAAATTGTTAATGAATTATTAAATTCATGTATTTTTAGAGGCTCCTCATTGTTTGGGAAAATAATAATTGATAATCAATTTATCATCATTACTGATTTGTTTAATTTATCTAGTTAATTTTGGAAGTACAGAAAAAATGACATGGTGTTTTGTTTTAGAAGAAACTAAACTTTGCCGAGCTAAGAAGGGGTAAAGAGGTTTTGAAACAAACGCAAACCTTCTACCAGTAGATCATTTGGTCTCTTTTTAAAAGTAGTTAGAATTAGAATAGAAACTAAAAGCCAATCATCTTCGACAGGTTTTAATTTTCGGTTTTCTTGGCCTCGAATGAACTAAATGTAGTTTATGCAAAATAGTACTAAGTCAGTTTGTCCATTTTATTAGTGTGTCATTTTCACCGAAAGTGACAAAAATGAATTAATAATGAAAATTCCATTCAAGGCCTGAAAATTGCACTAGAGTTGTTTGAAATCACTAGTTTTGGCATTGATTTTAATACAATGCATTTATTAATTTTAATTCCAAAAAAACATGACAGAACCACCATCATACTAAACTTTTGAAGGCAATATACATGTTTTAACTAATTACTCTGGTAATGATGCTCAGTATCTGATAAGATTGTGATTATAACTTTCTTCGTTTTATACAGATGCAGATCTGTTACTAAAACTAGCCAATTTTCAAATAAGGCTAGTGTATCATTTTGTCCTTATATACTATTTTGTCCATATTTTACCTACCTCTAATTTGACTTGCAAAAGGTTGCATTAAACATCTGACCACTGTCATATGCAATGCATTTATTGATTTTAATTCCAAAAAAACATGACAAACCACCATCATACTAAACTTTTGAAGGCCATATACACACGCATACAATATACATACAGTTTTAACGAATTACTCTGGCAATGATGCTCAGTATCTGATAAGATTGTGATTATAACTTTTTTCGTTTTATACTGATGCAGGATTGTTACTAAAACTAGCCAATTTTCAAATAAGGCCAGTGTGTATGCTCAGCGATACTATGGATATGCTCAGCATCTGATAAAATTGTGATTATAACTTTCTTCGTTTTATACAGATGCAGAAAACTGTTACTAAAACTAGCCAATTTTCAAATAATGCCAGTGTGTCATTTTGTCCTTATATACTATTTTGTCCATATTTTACCTTCTAATTTGACTTGCAAAAGGTTGCATTAAACATCTGACCACTGTCATATACATGTAGTATCACTATAGTGGTATTACACTAGAGGTTGTTTGTCATTTAAATTAATTGTTTAAACATAGAGCGAGATTGAATTTTTAACTTCCCGAAGGAGAAGTTTATGTTTTCATAAAAAAATCCGATTCGCTAATTTTATGTTTTCTCGACGTTTCAAGCCATTCTGAATCGAATGAGAACAAATTTGGAAAAAGTATGTGTGTGTGTGAACAGATTTTTTGCCGTAAATCGACGTTTTCTCCAAAACGGCTGGACCGATTTCAAAAATTTAAAAGCCATTCGATGTATCTCGATGAGGACTATCGTTTCTGAGTTTTGTGCGGCGATCGGTCGGGCCGTTTCTTTGTAAATTGCAGAAAAGTGAAAAAATTTTCGTCCACGTTTTAGCCCGCAATTCTGAATCGATTCTGAAAATTTAAAAACCGTTCGAAAGATATTGATTGGGAATCGTGCTGATTAGTTTTTGGTGAAGATCGGCCGGGCCGTTTTCTTGTAATAAAGCTTTAAAAAAAAAAATTCGACGATTTTTATGATTTTTTTTTACGGTAGATACCATAGTTTTCTAGGTCATACTAAAATATTACGACCCTACGACAACTCGTTTAGCTTCGTAAAAATTCGTCAAAGTTTGCAAAAATTGGTATCGTTTTATTGACATTTGTCAAAATGAAATCTTTGATCGACGTTTTCTCAAAAACGCCTTAACCGATTTCAGAAATTTAAAAGCCATTTGATGTATTAAGGTGAGGACTATCGTTTGTCAGTTTTGTGCGACGATCTGCCAAGCCGTTTGTTAATAATTTGAAAAAAAGTGTTAAACTTTTCGTCCACATTTAAGCTCATCCTACCGAACCGATTTTAAAAAATCAAAAACTGTTCGAAAGATATTAGTTGGGAATGATACTGATTAGTTTTAGGTGAAAATCTACCGAGCCGTTTTCTTGTGATTAACTATTGAAAAAAAAATTGCCGATTTTTATGGATTTTTTTTTAGTGATATATACCATGGTCTTATAGAACTCACTGAAATATTACGGCCTTACGACAAATAGTTTGATTTTAAAAATTCATCAAAGTTTGAGAAAATGAGTAGTTCTTTTGAGATTTGTTAAAATTAAAATTAGACTGTTTACTTGGTATAATGATAGAGTACTTGGTTCTGAACATAATAAACCATTAAAGTCCTGAAAACTGGTTCAATTATATAAAATTTGCTTTTAGAAAATACTCCGAGTCAAAGTGTTCGTTCGTTTCAATTATGTGTAATAAATCCATTCGGAATACTTTTAATGACTCTTAAATTAATTTATTTTTTATTGATTAAGTCGATTATTTAAACATATCGGGAAGTTCATGTAACTTGCCTCAAGGCTAAATACCAAACCAACTAGTTTTTTCTTAGATCTACCAGAAGAACAGTAACTTATCAATCAATTTGGTATGATGTCAAGTACAGAATAAAGGAAATGATTCGTTTGAGCTGTCATTGGTATATTTAATAAAGTCAAATAACCAATTTCTTGAGAGACTTCAAACGAAATCCGAAAATTTGAGGTTGCTATTTTACTATTTTGCTAATCCACTTCACATTTAGATATCTCAGGTAATCGTGGTATGACTATTTCAACGCCAAAAAGAATTGGAGACGCATGTGTTATAGAGTGCACAGTCGTTTAAAGAATTTTTTATTAAATATTTATTTTAATTTTTAAAGTTTACTTATAGTGTTCAAACAAATTTCAAAATACTCAAAAAAAATTTTTTTTTCCAAATTTTTAAAAATATAGTTTTATACTTCACATATTAATTTGAAATTTACAATTCAGTTTGTTTATATTTCATATGCGTTATTCTACGCGTAAGGTTATTTCAAAAATAAAACCAGTGGGGCGCATGGCATCGTGCCTTAAGGCAAATTGCTGGAACTTCCCGTTCCAAATTTTTTTTTTAACCACTTAACGATAGGTTTTTTTTTCGTGAAAAGCAGGTTTTTTTTATTTGGGATTTTAAAAGTTTAATTGATTTATTATGTGTTTCTGATAACATTTTCTTCTTATTTATTTTATTTTTGTTTAAAATTAACAATATATATTATAATACTGATGACCGTTTTTGGACTACCTTTATGCTCTATGTATAAATTATTGTGTTATAATATGATAAATAATACGAAATTTTCATTTAATAACTTTTAAGTTTTAATAATATCTATTTATCTAAAAAGAATATAACAAATTTTTAAACAAATAAAAAAATTAAAGCTAATTAGTCATTCTGGTGAAAAATTTATGTACATTCATTAATATATCTCAAGGACAAAGAGTATTACTTATTTAATTATTTATATTATAATAATCTTATATATAAAAATGAATCGCAAAATGTGTTGGTAAGCGCATAACTCAACAACGCCTGGACCAATTTGGCCAATTCTTTTTTTAAAATGTTCGTTGGTGTCCAAGGATGGTTCTTACGGCGAGAAAAAATCGATTAAATGCCGGGAAAACCCTAAAAACAGCCTTTTCTTTTCTCATACAAACGTTGTATGCGGATTTTAATAAATCTTTCTGAAGTTTGTTAAGAAAATTTTCTAGAATGTATGTGATTTTGAAGTAGTGGGATGTATGTGCAATATTGTAGAAAGAAATGGTAAAAATTATAAAAAACATGTCATTCTTTGCATTAAAAACAAATGAAAACTATCATCTGCCAAAAATTTCAATTTACTCATGAACCTAGACAGTATTAGAATATGTATAATAAATTTTTGATTATAAATAAGAAAAATAAAATTTCTACATTATTATTGCCAAAAAGCAGCTGAATGTGCCAGAAATCGAAATAATATAAAATACATTATATGTGTACACATATGAACACATACACATAACAAATATAATTCACTTAAAATATGAAATTAAGTATTAATCAGGGCCGGTCCTACCTTTAATGCGATTCATGCGAAAAATACGATGGCACGCCTTGGGGGGCGCCAACACTAGATTCGGATATTGAATTTTCAATATAGTTTTTTTTTTCAATATATAATTTCTTTGCATCTTTTACCAATCTTTCCACAATATTTTTAAAATTCATAAAAATTTCACTTTATATCAATAAATGGGAAAATAAAGATGAATACCATATTGATTAGAGGTTTAAGATGCAATTTTCTTATTTCTTATCTTAAATAATAAAAAATAATAAATAATAAAAAATTAAATTAATTTAATTCAACATGAAGTACCAGTGTTATGTTATGGTTATGGTTATGTTATACCGTTTAAAATACTTCAATTCAAACTTATCATTTTATTTAAAGCAGTTCTACATTTAACATTGCTTATATTATAAATGTATATGCATTTTGGCGTGAAGAGTAATTTAAAAAACAATAATTATTATTTTTAGGTAAACGGTAAATATTTGTGTATTATATTAAAAAATTGTAGACATGGGTACAGGACAACGTCTGTCAGGTCATCTAGTAAAAAAAATATTATCGTATGATGAATTTCGAAACATTCTTCCACTGCCCGCTGCCGGGCACAAAAAATAACTTTATATGCAAAAGTTTGTACATTTCATGGGCATTTCATTACTCGTGAAATGCAAGTAATTTTTGATCTACTTGTAACATCTATTGGACATTACTCCAGAAAAAAATTGAGGTGAATAACATTTTTGAAAAAAATTTACTCTGAAAAAATTTGATTTTTGAGAAACTATAAATTTTTGACAAAAATTTTCTTTTAAAAAAAAAACTTTGAGGAAAGATTTATTTTGAAATATTTTGGGAATTCTGAACTTTTTTTCAAAGCAATCGTACTGCTTTAAATAGAGACGAAATATCAAAGCGCGTAAGCGCCGCGTCGCTCCTTAACGGGTAAACATCGGTACGGAACCCATAGGAATGTTAACAAAATTTATACTTATTATTAAAATTTCTATAAAATATCTAATAATTTGATGTGCATATGTCTAATGATCATTTTTGACAAATGGCACTTTTTTTACTAGATCTCCGAAACCGCTTGACTTCGAACCCGCCTTCATGAAAATTTGATCAGTTCTTCATCTTGTTGATACAAGTAAAATGTTTTTTGAATTATCCAAATCGGACGCTCCGTTCTCTTACAAACTGAGTTTTTGGCACTTTTTGCCCCATATCTTCGGAACGGCTAGACCTGCCTTTACCAAAAACTAATCAGCACGTCTCCTTATCAATACAAATTGAATGTTTTTTTAATTATTCAAATCGCTTCATCCGTGTTCCCGAAATCGTCGACGAAAATTATATCCTAACATACACACACATACATACTTCATTTTTTTCTAAGGTATGCCAAAATGTTTAGAAACCTTCAAAACGTGAAGATATACAAAAAATTTTATTTTCGATTTTTTGCGATTACTATAACTTACCCTACGGGAAGTTAATTATCACTATTCTTAAGTTATGTCTTTCTCTGATCTTTACGATTTTTTTTATAAAATACAAATTACGTTTATCATTTTTCAGTTCCTATAGACATCAGATTCACTGGAACTCTTAAATCAGACAAGAAGAATATTACCAATGACAGAAGTTCCCGGAAACATACAATACCTGGTTTAAATCGGGCTACTGTAAAACGGAGACAAAGTCTGGATCGGCTGAAGAATGAATTACAGAGTCTTCTCGATAGTAATTTACAAGACGAGAAAAATAATGAAACATTGGTGGAAGAACATGGAAAAGGTTTTATTGAAGACAATATAGAAATTAAAGGTATAATTTTGTTTTCACTTATTAACTTAGGGCAGAGTAAGTTATAGTAATCCAAAAATCGAAATTAAAAATTTTTGAACATTTTGAAATATCTTAGAAAAAATTAATGTGTGCGTGTAGAATTTGTTTTGTTCTGATATAATTTTGCGTCCACAGTTTTGAGAGCATGGCTCAACCGATTTAAATGATTCAAAAAACATTCAATTCGTATTGACGGGAAGGCGTGCTGATAAGTTTTTGGTAAAAACGTTTCAGAGATACGTTTTTTATTTATTTCAATATCCAGTTTTCGCTAGAATGAATTGATTTATTTCAATATCCAGTTTTCGCTAGAATGGAGCATCCGATTAGATTGATTCAAAAGACTTTCGATTCGTATGGATAGCGAGACGTCCTGATTATATTTTTGCAAAGCATGTCTAACGGTTTCGGAGATGTAGAAAAATGTCATGTGATGGTCGCAAATAATTATTACAAACCATTATTATTGATTTATATACAAATAAAATTATTGGTATATTGATTGACAGATAGGTACAGGTAGACAGGTATAAAAGTAGTCAGGTAAGCAGGTGGGCAGTTACACATATAGCACGGAAGAATTTTTTGGTAACTCAGTATAAGCGGGTATCGTCATGGAGGAATGTTTACTAATTGGGCTGTCACAAATGAACAAGGTGGCAAATAGTAATGGTAATTATCTTGATCTCTTCTTCACTAATTGTGATCTGTTTGTTAAGAAGTTGTTTAACCTGAAACCGGAAGACAAGTATCATCCTGCAATTGGAACGGAAAATAAATATTTTGATACAATTAAACCTAGAGTAGTGAAATGCTTCAAATTCAAGAAGGGTGACTATGGCGCTCTCAACAATCTTCTCATACAAGCGAACTAGATATCTATGTATCAGGTGAATAACATTGATGACATTATTGCTCATTTTTATAGGATTTTCTGGGATGGAATATTAGCTACAGTATCTCAAGTAAGCAAGAAGTGCAGCAGATATCCGTGCTTAATAAAGGCAAAGAGAGACGCTCACAATACATATAAGAGAACGGGTTGTACAACTGATTATACAGCTTTTAGCAACTTAAGAAACGATTGTAAGAAGTTGAGTATTCAGTGCTACAATGACTTCACTTTTCGGGCTGAGGAAAGAATAAAAGTCAATCCACAGTATTTCTGGAAATATGTTCAGATGAAAAAAAGTTCTGATAAGGGTATTCCAACATCTATGGAATGGATTGACAAAAAGGCAGATGGAACAGATAATATATGTAATTTTTCTGCGGTATTTTTCAAGAGCACATATGATGAATCGAAATTACTACCAAACGAATTTGACGCACTACTGTATGGTCTGTCCAATGGCAACACTAACCTAAGTAAAATCGAAATCAGTTTTGATGAATTGCTCCAAGGATTGCTATCATTGGACAGTTCCATGGGTTTTGGGCCAGATGGAATACCGAACTTTTTACTAAAGGAATGTTCAGTGGGCTTATGCGAACCTTTAAGTTTCATCTTCAATAAGTTTTTGAAAGGGGGTGTGTTTCCAGTTGTCTGGAAAGACGCACATGCTGTCACCGTGTTTAAATCAGGCGTGAAATCTAATACACCAAACCTCGCTTTACGGCCTAGATACGTTCCACGAGACGTTGTATTATTGCCTTGGGCGTTGAATAAATACATAAATAAATAAATTGATTATTTACACTTATTGGAAAGTTGCAAGCAATTATCATAATGTTATTTGTCACATGACACTTACAACTAGTTAAAATATATGTTTATAAATACGGTTGTCTGCTAGAAGAGATCACTATAAATAATTTTGCAAATAGATCATAATAGTTGATTCTCTGATCATTTTTAACAATTGTCACACATAGAGATATAAATAGTATTTATATTGATCAGAGAACAGAAATTTAAAATTAAGTTAATTAACTTCCCGTAGGGTAAGTTATAGTAATCGCAAAAAAATCGAAAATGAAAATTTTTATATATCTGTACGTTTCAGAGGTTTCTGAATATTTTGGCATACCTTAGAAAAAATGGATGTATGTGTGTGTGTGTGTGTGTGTGTGTGTGTATGTATGTATGTATGTATGTATGTATGTATGTATGTACGCGTGTGTATGTATGTGCGGATACAAATTTTCGTCGACGATTTCGGGAACACGGATCAACCGATTTGAATAATTCAAAAAGCATTCGATTCGTATTGATAAGGAGACGTGCTGATTAGTTTTTGGCGAAGGCACGTCGAGCCGTTCCGAAGATACGGGGCAAAAAGTGCCAAAAACGGTAACTCAGTTTTTAAGAGAACGGAGCGTCCGATTTGAATAATTCAAAAAAACATTTTACTTGTATTGACAAGATGTAGAATTGATCAAATTTTCATGAAGGCAGGTCTAGCGGTTTCGGAGATCTAATGAAAAAAGTAAAAAAAAATGCCATTTGGCGGTTAAAAATGATCATTAGACATATGCACATCAAATTATCAGATATTTTATAGAGATTTTAACAATAAGTATAATTTTTTTTTACATTTCTATGGGTTCCGTACCAATTCTTATGCGTTAGACGGCGACGCGGCACTTGCGAGCTTCGACATTTCGTCTCTATGCAGTTCAAGCAGTGCGACTGCTTTGAAAAAAAGTTCAGAATTTCCAAACTATGTCAATATGAAGAAAACATTTCTTTTTCAAAAAATTTTTTTGTTTTAAAAAAAAAAAATTTTTCTCAAAAAAATTTTTTTTTTTCAAAAAAAAATTTTTTTTTTCAAATAAAAAAAATTTTTTTTTCAAAAAAAAGTAATTTTTTGTCAAATTTATAGTTTTTCAAAAATCTATTTTTTTGAAGTAAATTTTTTTCAAAAATGTTAATCGTTTAAAAATAATAATTTTTGGTACGGGAAGTTCCAGCAATTTGCCTTAAGGCGCGATGCCCTAATTGCTTTAAGACAGAATTCCACTTACAGCTAGTTTTATTCTTATATAGGATAAAATTGATATTATTATTTTATAGCTGTATGTTTTTATGCGCATGTATTTAATAAATACATAGCAGTTTTTATGCATATGTATTTAATGAATACATATAATAATGAAAGTCGCAGTATTTATAATAATCTATTTAAAAACATTTAATATTTCTTGAACATTACATTATGATACAGAAAGTCCTACCAATTTGCCTTAAGGCACGATGCCATACACCACTAATTGAATTTTTGTTTGGTTATAGAATCACAGTATTATTTGCGATGTTACCTTAGTTTTTTTCTTTTGATTTTTGTTTTGCTACTATTTTCAATTTGGTTATATTTCTTCTCCTGGTGAAAATTCTTGTATAATATTTATAGTTTTATCTTCGAGTTTCAAATTTTTTAATTGCCTCAAAACAATTTGGTGATCTAATTTCTTTGAGTCTGTGACTACTGTAACGTATGTTTATTAGTTTATAAATGATCTGTAATTATGTTAAAAACTTTAATTAACTTGATTATGATAAAAATCGGTGTTGAAGTATTTGATCATTTAAGTATCTTGACAAAATACTATTGATAGTGAGAAGTTATTTACTAGTAGTTGATAATTACTTGTAACTCGATAGTCACTCGTTTCAAGATTATCTTCTGTTTCAAAAATTGACTTTTTTGAGACTATTTTAAAACACTCAATTTTTATAATTGTAGGAAGTATTGGTGTCATTTTATCATCTGTGGATGCATCATTTGTTGTTAAATTTTTTATGATTTTCTTCATCTCTTTGATAATATATATTTTATTATTTTATATATGTAATAAATTTGTATTATTTTCATATTTATAGTTTTTTTTTTACAGAAACCATAGAAGACACCACGCCCAGAACGAATACCACAAATGCCATAACGTTATCTCCACACAGCAAACTTGTGGATAAAAGCAACGATAATGTTGCAATCACAGCTTCCGCTTCAAAGAAATCGCAGCAACAGGATCAAGGAAAAATATTATCTTACATCAGGCAGCAGAGATTGAAACGCAAAGTGCAATTGAAACAAGAGAAAAATGAAAAAATGAATATGGAACAAGCGAAGAAGCAGAGACTCAAAGAACTTCAGGTGCGTAGTTGATGCAATTATAGAAATAGAAGTAGATTTAAGTGTTATAACAACTGATATTTAGCAGCTTTTGAAATGGTAACAATAAAGTTTTTGGTTTCAAATCATTCCATTTTTATTTAAGAATATTCAAACTATTTGTTGAAAATAACTAACATGTTTTGCTAACTTGTACGAAATAGAAAATTCTACAATAGTTTTTAACATTAACTATCAGCCCTTCAGCAACTCAGTATTCTTATAAATCACTCACAATTTGAAAAGTGATTTCTTATTAAGTCGACTATTGACATGTATCAAGAAATTTATGCAACTTGCTTCAATGCAACATGTCACTTATTCCTAGTTTATATAATTAAAAAATTATAATGAAATTTGTATATGTATATCTTTTACGTTTTAAGGCCTCCTGAACATTTTGGCATACCTTAGAAAAAATTGATGTATGTATGTGATTTGGATGATACCTTGAAAAAAATTATGTATGTGTTTATGTATGGATACGATATTTCGTCGATGTTCTCGGAAGCACGGGTTAACCGATTTGAATTATCCGATTCCTATTGATGGGGAGACTAGCTGATTAGTTTTTGGCAAAAGCAGGTTCAGCTGTGTCGAAGATACTGGGAAAAAGTTTAAAGAATTGCAACACAGCGTTCGATTTGAATCATTCAAAAAACATTTCAATTATATTGACGGAAAATCAAGGCGCATCCAATTTTCAGATACTTTATAGAGATTTCAATATTAATATTAATAATAATAAGTAAAAAACCGGCTTGTATTATTCAATAAACATTTAGTTCGTACTGACGCCGAGAGACGTTCTGGTTAGTTTTTGCGAAAAACAGGTCTCTCCGTTTCGGAGCTACGTAGTCATGCAGTTTTAGCGAGTCTTTTTATTAAAGGAATGCAAAAAACAATTTGCTAGTTTCGGCGGTGTGAAGGAAATATTACTTTTTGGGGAAGGCAGTTCCATCTGTTTACACTATTTTGAAAGCATTTCAAGATATCCAAAAAAATACTCGTTCATTACGGTACAGGAAGTTCCTAGCAATCTTCCTTGACACAAAGCCTTTTTTTAAGTCTTGCCTATATTGTTAATGAATTTTTTTTGCAGGATAAAACTTTAAAAATATTAGCGGAGAATATAAAACATCGAAAGAACGACAAGAAAACAAGAACAACACATTCGATGGTGGTACCTGTTCCTAGTACTGATAATCATGTAGTTGGAAAGAATACAATTTATATGAGAGGAAAATTAAAAAGTCCAAAAACTAGTAGAGCTGGTACAGCAGTTGCAGAAAATAAGAAAGCAGTTGATGCTGAAGGGTTAGTGAATCATGAGAAAATAATCAACTTATATAATTAATTTAAAGTAATTTTCTACTAATTTATTTATTTTTTTTTAGTTTCTTTCAGAACGAATGCTTAGTTGAAAACCAAGTATTAAAACCAATTGAAAAATTTCCTTCTTCCACGAATATTGTAATATCAGAGCCACACAATATTGTAAAACCAGTGCCCTTGACACCAGTCAAAACAAAATTTAAATCAAATCGAGCTGATTCAAGAGAAAGTCTTCATAATGATCGAGAACTGATGTTGAATGTTGATCGAGAACTAGAAGTTAGAGAGCGCGAAAAAAAATTGATGATAAAGAGGATTACAGCGGTGCAGGCTTGTGTTAGAGGTTTTCTGCAAAGGACGAGATATAAGAAGTCAGTAATCATTTAATTTAGCATTACACCGAGATTTTTAAAAATAAAATAGCATGTTTAATTACTTTATACGTTTTCAGATTATTACAAGAAAGAATTCCTAGGCAAATCTCCAAACCTCCTGAAGTTTCTATACCAGCATCACAACCACCGCCAACATCTTCACCAAAACCTGATGTCAAAGAAGACGTTTTACCTCACTATCTACGTCAAGGTATCATCAAACCATGTCCTTACAATTTCATAACCGCCGTGAAGAGGAAGATAAATTTAGCAGTCACTGGTAGTGTACCGTATTGTCGGAGAGAAATCACAGGGTCTCTGGCAGATGTTCCAGATTCAATCAGTTATGATCATGTGAATCGGGTTGCGGATCAAAGTAGCGGGTTCAGTGTCGGTACGTTTCTTTTTATGTATTGTTAACTTCCCAAAAAAGAATCGTTTGTGGCCGAAATTGGTTGAAGCATAATTTGACTTTTTGACTCATCGATGTTTTTTTAAAAAACGGCTATACCGATTTCAGTATTTTTCACAAATACTTGGCATATTGTGCTATGGTCATTTAGATGAATAGTAATATAGTTAATTATTAATAGTTACATAGTTATTAGGTAATATAGTATATTACGCAATATTCATGTCCCACCTGCAAAATGTACTTTATATAGTTTATAGATATAAAAATAAATTTGAAAAAATCTGAAAAAATGTAAAGACATTTTTACATATACATATCTCGATAAAGACCCGCGTTAGTTAATCAATGAGAATAATTGGCCGAAACGTTTCTTTAGAATTAGTAAAAAAGTGGAAAAAATCGTTTGAAATATATCAAATGGAAATTTAACTGATTAATTTTCTAATTCCCAAGATCCCAAAAGTGGTCTTATTATGAAAATTGATCAGAGTTTGGAATAATGAGCATCGCTTCGCGATGTGAGCCACGTTTTGACCTTTGATCGACGTATTGTCATGAAGCTTTAAATTGCATGAACCTCTCGATAAATGTAATAATTGACTTAATCAACCGAAATTGAGATTTAGGTATTGAGATAAAATTTTCAACTGTTTATTTCGAAAATAAATTTACCGCTTTCAGTTAAATCTAAACATTTTCAACAGAATTTTCTCAAACACATTTAAGAAAGTTTTTGTAATTATATTAATTATATTGCACATGCTTGTAGGTATGTTCTAAAATTGTAGCTTGTTGTTTTATCGTGGGGCCTTGTTGACTTGTGGGGCCGTAATATTTTAGTATGAAATAGAAGACCATGATATCTATCGCAAAAAAAATATCATAAAATTCGTCGAAAAAAATGTTTCAACAGTTAATTACAAGAAATTGTGCCGGCGAATCTTTACGAAAAACTAATCAGGTCGATTTCTAACCAATATCTTTCGAATGGTTTTTGAATTTTTAAAATCGATTCCATCGACAATGACAATATAAAGACCCTATTGGTTTTTGACAATGTCATGCCAAACCGCTTGGCTCTTTGTTTACTTGATACTACTAAATAAAAACCAAGTATATATTCCAGGTTTGAGAAGATCTACATCCTGTGACTCGAGAAAACTGTCATCAAATCTCAAGTCAAAATGTCATTGTCGGCATCACGAATGTACCAGTAGACGTTCAACATCTGCAGATAGCAACACCTGCTCAAGAATTTTATCTACAAGGCACAACAAAGATGAAGAGTCTATCAAAACCGAAAAAAGTTCTGGTAGAAATAAAAGTGATCAAAGTGAAGGCATAGAAAATGCTTTACAAAGATTTGAAGACAAAGATAAAGGAATCATATCGTCAAGAAATGCTGATAATGACAAGGATAAAAATTCTACTGACATATCTGAGGTATTTAGTTATATATATATATATATATATATATATATATATATATATATATATATAAATATATATATATATATATATATATATATAACAAATGTATTCTGAGTGGATATAGATATTAATTTGGAAATATGAACAAACAACACTCTTTTTTGCACTATTTTATTAAATAATAATTTTCACAAACGTTTCGAGACTAGGTTTGTCTCATCATCAGTGTGTTATAATTTAAAATTCAAAATATGGAAACTTAAATTAGCATTATGTGTTTTCCGTTACACATTGTTCGAAATACTGTCTTCTGCCCCACCAACGATCGTCGGTGTCCGAATTCTCTATACGGATATCTATATATACTATATATATATATATATATATATATATATATATATATATGTGTGTGTGTTATGTATGTATGTATGTATGTATATATATATATATATATATGTGTGTGTGTTTAATTTCTTGAAGGGCGTAACATTAAGTTAAAAATATAAATAAAGTGAGGATTTTTAAAACATCTTTATTTTTTCATACCTTCCGACGTAAAATTCTACGTCATCGTCAGTGGTTCTACAATTTTGAAAAAAAAAACAGAAAGTAACGTTAAAAACTAAATACACAGAGCAAGAATAAAAAGAAAGAGATTTAACTAAAAACACAGACTAATTATATCTAAACCTTAAATTAAAATATTGCATAAAACATTACTTACTTTTTGACTATTTGACTTACTTTTTGACTTGTATACCTAAAAGGTCATAAAACTGCCTGTGAAACGAGAAAGCGACAGCTTCCTTTCCAAAGCAAAAACGCATTAAATGTCTGCACGAGTTAACGGTTTTAATACCAGTTTAGGAAAGTCGGATATGACAAAATCTCCGACACAACTCCGCTCAGATTCACTCCGAGGGAGGAGTTGTATTGGAGTGATAAGTCCGGAGTGAGTTACCCATCTCTAGTTCAGACATAGCACCCTCTGACTAACACTCTTCTCGATCTCAGCAGGACTCTATCTGGAGCTTATTATTTTAAGTAAATTTACTTTCACGCTATAAAAAATCTATTCCTCCACAAACTTTTTTCTTGATCTAATATATACACATCAATAATAAGTAATTTTTTTAATTCTTAATGTTTATGTTTAATGTTTAATAACTTTACAGAATATTAAAACAACAGCCACAACTTCAACCCCGAATTCAAAAAGTCACTTTAAGTTCGACCCCAGCATAAAAAAATTAGAATCTCCCACTTCAGAAGCCATAACTTCAAATCTGGAATATGAAAGCACATTCACAAAATTCTCTTCTGAGCCTCAATCAAAACCAAATGACTTCAACAGCTGTTCCAAAAATGATCAAGAAAAATCAAACCAGCCTTTGTACAACATTAAAGTCGAAAATAAATTGATATCAGATTTAAAAAGTTTAAGTGAGCTGTACACAACTTTCTCGGCTTACGTTGATGCTGAAAACAGCACCAGCCGAGACTTGTCTCCTATACATTCTGAAAAATCAAAGAGAAGTCATTTCAATTTAAAAAATATAAGTGAACCTACGGATGTGCCAAGTGAAAAATTTATTAAAAGTGAAAGATTTTCTAGAAGTAAAGAAAATAAACACAGTATTAGTGAAGAGGTACCTGGTTCGAGTAATAATTTTAAAAAGAGTGCCAGTGTGCATGTGGTGAGTGATTTGATGAAGAGTGAGACCCATAGTGTTACCGATGAAGTTAAAGAGTCTAACCAAAACGATGTTTATAGTCAAAATAAGTCAAAGGATTACTCTCGAGTTGTCAGTGAAAATTTGGTAAGTTCTAACATTCATATTTTGATAATATACATAAATAGTTTCAATTTTTGCGTATATTTTGATTTTATTGACTAAAATGCATTTGTTGTTTGCTTTCTTTAATTTAATTTGCTTTTGTTGATGTGATATGATGTTAATTATATTGATAGTTATTTTGATGGCTTTATTCATCATCTGTTGCAGTATTTTTGCAGTTTTACTTTCATAAATAGGCATGGGAAATATCATAATAATCAAAAATTTTACCTTTTACTTATTAACTTCCCGTAGAGTAAGTTATTGTAATCGTAAAAAAATAGAAAATATAAACTTTTTTCTTGTGTGAGTGTGTGTGTATGTATGTATGTTTGGATACAATTTTTTGTCCGCGATTTCAGGCGCACGGATCAACCGATTTGAATGATTCCAAATACAGATTAGTTTTTGAAAAAGGCAGGTCTAGCCGTTTCGAAAATACGGGACAAGAAGTGTCAAAAATGGTAATTCAGTTTTTGAAAGAATGGAGCGTCCGATTTATAAATTCTGGAATGTTGTGTATGTGTGTGTGTGTGTAGGTGTGTATTATCTATTTGAAAAAAAAAATTTTGGAAAAAAAATAAAGCTTTCAGAAATCCTAAATATGTGTTCATAAACTATTATATTGATTAATTAATTAATTATTAATTTAATTATATTATTTATTTCCACATATCGGTAAGTTTATGCAACCATCTGTGATAAAATGACACTTACACCCAGTTATTTATCATTTTAGGAAATAGAAATCGAAGACGACTCCATCAGAGCCTTTAGTGACAAAATTTCTAAAAAATGCAGAACACACAGAAGTGACACTTGTTCCATATCTGAAGATTTAAAGTCTTATGAAGAAAATTTGGGACACAACAATAAAATTTCTGACCCAAAAATATCCGAACACCCAAATCCATCACAAATGTTACACGGCAACGAGTTTCTGAATCCAGGATCTTGGAATACTAATGGAACATGCAACTTGGTCTACACTCAGTACTCTTGTGAATTTGAAAATTCAAAAACAAAAAAAGTTGATAACTTGAAAAAACCAGCACATAGATTAAAAATTGATCAGAGCAAGTTTACCAATACTGACAGTTCTATTAAAAATGTACAACCGAAAATTTTAGATAGTGGTAAAGCTAAAAAGACTCCCTTGATTAGAGATTTGAGTACTGACAAAGTTTTATCAAAGAACGAGGACATTAAGGCTGTAATAAAGTATATCGAAGACTTAAAAAGTTTATCGAAAACACTTTTTGAAAGCAAAGATACTCAGACTAGTTTTAAACATAACACAAATGAGGTGAGAATGTATTAAATTAATATTGTTTTTCATAATGATGCACTGTTCATCCTTATATCGTTTGACATTAACTTAGTAATCTAGTTATTATTCTTTAGGCAAATATAAATTTGGAGCATGAAAAACGGCGTCCAAAAACCGGTTCCAATGTCAAGAACTGTAAATCGTTGCATTCTGTTGTATCTGACGAGTTGTTAGAGGTAGCTGTTATTTTTAAATAATCAATAATACTCAAATATACAATTGATCAATTGGTTGATCAGTATAGTTATAATTAGTTTTTTTTTAAAAAAAAACATCAGGCAAAATATAATACTGAAAGTGATTAGTCAATTCTCGGATAAAATAGTTATTGATCTTTTTTGTTGAGCGGTCGCATGAATAGTCACGATATTGTTAAAAGGCTATGTCTATGGTATTCGAGTGTTTTGCACAATCTCAACTAGTAAAACCTCATCTTCAAATTATTATTAGTCCAACTTCACGTCTATTTTATTCTTAGTTGCAATAAATTGTTACAGTTAAAATAGCATACACGTGAAATCGAACTAATGTTATATTTGGATATTTATGCTATTTGGAGATTACGTTTTGCTGGTTAAGACTGTGTAAAATGCTCGAATAAAATAACATCACTGTTTTATCTCAGAAATAGCACTTGAGACTTGTGTCAAATATATCAATTTTTAAACGCAAAATATGCATTGACGTAATAATTATAAATATTTTTGCAATATTTAACTATTCAAACATAAAAATAAATTACAAAATATAAAAACTAAATTATACGCTGACGGGATTCAAACCCGATCATTGTTTACTCTTTTTTCTATAAATCCAAACGCAAAAAGTAGAAGCAAGCGCTTCAACTCACTGAGCTACCATTATTAATATGATACACTTTATCAAATCTATAATTTATTTTTGTAATTAAATCACTTTTCACAGCCCTATAATATTTTAAGTTGTTTGGTCCGACTGTCAACACAATCGCCATGCAAAGTTACATCAAAATCCCAGTATAAACCTGAGTGTCTTTTACTTAAAGCAAAGCATTAAATGAATTTGAGAAAACTTTTACAAAATTCAGAGATAATATACCATGAAGAAGGCTGTACTTATTTTTTATAAAATCAATAAAAGTTTATTAAAATTTTTCATTGTCCTTAATATTGTAGTGCAATATTAATTTTCTGTTACACTAAATTACTCTAACCATTTTTTTGAATTTTTTTATTTTTTCAGTTATACATACCACCCTTGGATTTGTCTCGAATAAATTCAAGTCGTCTAAAATCGAGCTGTTCGTCTTTCGAAAACATACAAAATATTCAAAATTCTCGAACACATATGAATGCCGCATCAGAGAGTGAAAGCTCAACAAGTATTTTTATCACCAAAAGGAATCATCATGATGACCTTGTTAATTTAAATAATGTAAGTAATACTTAATAATTATCGATTTATTAAAGTAACTGTTATCATATACGTCATATCCTCACTTTGCAATGTTAATCACATTCAAAATGAAAACACGAAGCAAATTAAAACAATGCAAAATGATTTTTTTCTTATTTTTTTTTTTAAGAAAATTGATCAAAGTCAAATTCAACCAAACAATGACATCAGTAACAATTAAGCAATAACGAAAGACGCAATGAACAAAAAACTAGTGGTGCATGGCATCGTTCCTTAAAGCAAATTGCTGGCACTTTCTGTTCAGTAATTTAATATTTTGAAAAGCTTTAAAATATAAAATAAAGAAAAATTATGGAATGTTTGAAAAAATGTTCTTTTTCAAAAATTTGTACGTTCACGATTTTGAAACTCATTCAAATTGGTTAAACCATACTGTCGAAAATGTCGAGGACATTTATTTGAACTGTATCAGCTAATAAACATTATAAATTTTAGGACGGAACCCAAAGAAATGGTAAATATATATATATATATATATATATATATATATATATATATATATATATATATTCTTAAAATCACTATAAAATATCCGATAATTTCATATGCACATGTCTAATAAACATATTTGAGCGCTAAATGATTTTTTTTCTGGATCTCACCAGTCTCTGGATCTGTCTTCTCAAAAATTAAATCAATTTTTCACTGTCAATACAAGTGACATGATTTTTAGATTATTCAAATCGGGTACACTGTTCTCTTAATAACCGATTTGCACATTTTTGCTTATTTATGTCCCTATCTTCGGAACGGCTCTAGCCAAAAACTAATCAGCACGTCTCCCTTCAATAGGAATCGAATGTTTTTTGAATCACTCAAATCAGTTGAATTGTGCTCTCAAAATCGTCGGCGAAACTTTGTATCCTTACATACATATATACTACACACACACTCACATCCATTTTTTCTAAGGTATGCCAAATGGTTTAGAAACCTCTGAAACGTAAAGAGCAGCAAAAAAAAATTTTTTTTTCGTTTTTTTTTGCGAGTACTATAACTTAACCTACGGAAATTTAATCAGTAAACGATGCAATGCGGGTTACGCATGTGTATGGATATCAGATTTACTGTACCACTTGGTGTTCATTAACAACAATAATTACTGATTAAACAAAGGGTATGGGCGTGTTTCCATACAGAATTGGCCCCACCCTGGTATTTAAATAATTTTGATGCCATTTTATAGGTATTTTCGAGAAAATCCGATATACCAAATTTCAAATCCGTAGCTCATCATTTGGCCGAGATATCATTGAAAATGTGTGAAAGTGGCCCCTTTTTTCAAAGTCGTTTTTTGTCGCAACTATGAAAGATATCGACAAACAAATAACGGCACTCTATTCACATCGGTGTGTACTATATTATTGATAACAAATATTGTTTAATAATTATTTTTTAGTGCATGAAAAAGTGAAAATAATTTTTTGTTTTGAATTTTCCGGTAGTGCGGTTGTTTGGACTAATTTTTAATTATCATCAATAGAAAGGCTATTGAATTTTCTTTTAGTGTGCAAAATTTTGTTTTATTTCATGTGGTAGAACACATTCATAAATAGGAAAATCCTGAGCAAGTACACGCTCGCGCTCATATAGAACCCGTGTAAGTCGTCTCTCATTCGCAATGACTAGCAACAGCATTGCTCGCCGCGCATCGTGATAAATTAAAACATTTCTAATAAAACACAAGATATTGTATATGTATAATAATAACTATATTTTTATTTAATTAAATATATATTACTTATGTATTGCACAAGTATATTATATTATTTAATCATCTTTAATAATTAATTAATCAATTATTACCTATTAATTAATTATTAATTATTAATTCATTAATAATTATTAATTAATATTAATTATTAATTATCACTAAATAAATAAAAAATAGGTTGATAAAAAATATACATAATAATAGTATATCGGTATATGATTTCTATTCATGCTACAGCAATGTATAGAAATGCAAGTGTACTAAGTTAGTCTGAAAATATTTTAAATAATATCTTGAAGTTTTTTTTTTAAATTAAATAATATATAAAAATATATTGAATAGAATATCTCTACCTATAAAACTCATAATAATTGTTGAACTACTGTACTATTGTGCATAATCCTTAATTAAAACGAAATTTGAAATTTTGCGGCAAAAACCACACATAAGATAACAAAATGCAGACAGCATAAAATTAATATAATTCTGGAATTTAACTAATCACGAAGTTTTCGATAATTATTAAATAAATAATGTTTTTTTTTAATTTTTGTGTGATGTTTGGGAACTCTACACTTTTGTACCAGATTTTGATTTTGCACTTTTCTTATATTGTACTATTGTGTATCATCCTTAATTAAAACGCTTTCGCGGCATTATTAATTGTTTCATGGTAATAACTAAATTATACTCTAATCAAATTAAATTGCCACTAAAATATAAGAAAAGTGCAAAATCAAAATCTGGTACAAAAGTGTAGAGTTCCCAAACATCACACAAAAAGTAAAAAAAAACATTATTTATTTAATAATTATCGAAAACTTCGTGATTAGTTAAATTCCAGAATTATATTAATTTTATGCTGTCTGCATTTTGTTATCTTATTTGTGGTTTTTGCCGCAAAATTTCAAATTTCGTTTTAATTAAGGATTATGCACAATAGTACAGTAGTTCAACAATTATTATGAGTATTTATAGGTAGAGATATTCTATTCAATATATTTTTATATATTATTTAATTTAAAAAAAAAAACTTATTAAAACAATATATTATTTAAAATATTTTCAGACTAACTTAGTACACTTGCATTTCTATACATTGCTGTAGCATGAATAGAAATCATATACCGATATACTATTATTATGTATATTTTTTATCAACCTATTTTTTATTTATTTAGTGATAATTAATAATTAATATTAATTAATAATTATTAATGAATTAATAATTATTAATGAATTAATAGGTAATAATTGATTAATTAATTATTAAAGATGATTAAATAATATAATATACTTGTGCAATACATAAGTAATATATATTTAATTAAATAAAAATATAGTTATTATTATACATATACAATATCTTGTGTTTTATTAGAAATGTTTTAATTTATCACGATGCGCGGCGAGCAATGCTGTTGCTAGTCATTGCGAATGAGAGACGACTTACACGGGTTCTATATGAGCGCGAGCGTGTACTTGCTCAGACTTTTCCTATTTTTGAATGTGTTCTACTACATGAAATAAAACAAAATTATGCACACTAAAAGAAAATTCAATAGCCTTTCTATTGATGATAATTAAAAATTAGTCCAAACAACCGCACTACCGGAAAATTCAAAACAAAAAATTATTTTCACTTTTTCATGCACTAAAAAATAATTAATAAACAATATTTGTTATTAATAATATAGTACACACTGATGTGAATAGAGTCCCGTTATTTGTTTGTCGATATCTTTCATAGTTGCGACAAAAAACGACTTTGAAAAAAGGGGCCACTTTCACACATTTTCAATGATATCTCGGCCAAATGATGAGCTACGGATTTGAAATTTGGTATATCGGATTTTCTCGAAAATACCCATAAAATGGCATCAAAATTATTTAAATACCAGGGTGGGGCCAATTCTGTATGGAAACACGCCCATACCCTTTGACTATCAAATTTTTTTTAGAGTTTAACATAATTCTAAAATCTTACTTATCTTGGTATGTTATTATATTTCTATTGATATAAAATTCATTATTTATTGAGGTATTATAATATATTTAGTTAGACAAAATGTTGCACGAAGAATATTTGAAAGTGATGCGTCTAAAATCTATGTTGAAGAAAAAGGAGCAGTCGTTGATCGATAGAACGAAGGATGAAATAACGTTATTGGAGAATAGAAAAAGGTATTGGACAAAACATTTATTGTAACAGCTAGTGTACTACTAATATATATAATATATATATATATATATATATATATATATAAATTATATAAGTATCATACATTTGCATATAACCAAACAATACAGGTAATTCCCTTATTACATGGTAGTTAAACTCCCAAATAGTAGCGGGTTATATGAATTCGTAGGACTAGTACAAAAATAGGAGTTATATTCCAATAATTCATATTATTTTCTAAAGCTTCAAATAATAATTTTATAATAAACATTATTATATTTATTTAATTTTCTGAAGTAATACACATTCAATGAATTACATAATATTTTTTTGTCATAAGTAATAAGGATGTGCTATCCAACGCGATCGTTTTCTTCTTGGCAAGATATTGTCATCCTTCGAGCATTTTTTTGTACTACCTTCATTTTTATATTATATATTTTATACTTATACCTTATTGTTGCAAAGCGCTGCATAATGCACCTTTATTAAATTTTGTGCTCATTTTATTGAAGAATCTTCTGAAAAATATGACCAACTAATCAGAAAAGCCTAATCCTTTTTTTCGATAGAACAGAGGCGCTCGATGAAAAAATGTCAAATGAGTTGTCTTCGTACAAGTTTCATCACATTTATTGAGCTATTGTACTGCGATTTCACTAATTTTAGAATAGATAAAGATTGCTTTTTGTGCGTTTTACTGTATTTCTTATTTCATTAGGGCTTGTGTGGAAGTACCCTTTTATAAAACCATCTCTGGTGTCAATTATAGAATCTATTAAAGCAAACCCGTGTTATACGGGCGTTACTTGTACTTGTTTCATTTTAATTCATTTTTAACATAACGATACCATTATTGTGTATCATCTTTCTAAATATAATTGTAATGTAATTTCTTCGTTAATTGATATAATTTTGTTCACCACTTTCTTGGTATTTTATTTACTTATAAATTTTCTCTCTTTATATATAAATTAAAACACTGTTTTGTAAAAAATATTTATTACTTTAATGCTGTCCGAACTGATGTTATGACGATTTATGTTTATGGGAACTATGAATTGTTTTGTAAACTAAACTAAGAAAAAATTGTATACATTATGTTTCTTATAACATTTTTTATTGATCCATAGAGAGTTAAAAATGAGTGGTAACGTGAATGAGATTCCATCACTGAAGAAGAAGCAAAGAGGATTGTTACTCAATCTTCAGCAGGAGCGATATGAACTTGACAAGTAAGTTGAAATAATTAGAATAGTTTGAACCAGAAACAGCAAAGGGATATTTTCAAGAACACTCACACATACATACAAACTCACACATACATACAACACTCAGATTTTTAACACACACTTGGTAATTACAGACGTTTCGAGACAATGGTATGCCTCATCTTCAGTGTAATTTCAAAACAGTTACTTATATACTACACATTTTTTAATATTTTATTTAAATTACATTTAATTTTTGAAATTACAAAAAAACACCAACTATCACTTGCAAAGCTTTACACAGTACTAAAACATGTGAAACATACAGAAATATTTTAAACAAATCTTAAGCTTATGATGAAGAGACAGAATATGTATTATTATAATATTACCCAACCTTGTTAATACATATGTCACATCAAATTCAGATAAATGTGAAGCATACAGAAATATTTTAAACAGATATATAAATGTGTGTATATATATATATATATATATATATATATATATATATATATATATATATATTTATTGTTGTGCACCCCTGGGCTGTCAACAAATATGTTGTGGATCCGTTGCCAACAATTATGTTGCGTCACACCAACGATGTCAACAATTAAAATTAGGTTCTTCTGCTGCTAATCATAAACTTTATCACTGTGGAAATATTTAATTAAACATCTGAAGACATTTATTAATTTTTATTTACTTCATTACTTGGTTACACTTAATACACAATTGATATTTTAAAATAAGAGTGATGTGAACTGTTTGGCGTCTAGTCGAGAATGAACACTAGTTCCGTCGTCCTCAGGCTTTTTATAATCTCTGATGATGACGTAACCATCCTTCTAGAAAAAAACGTTAAATGCGTCTTTCATATTGACTGTTATATCAAATTTATAATATTATTTATAATTATTGTAAAGGGGTGAATACCACTACAATATATATTCAATAGATAAGTCCTGGATTTTTTCAATATATTGATTGTTTCTTTTTCGAATAGTAAATCCAATAATAAAAAACAATTTGTTTTTTGAAGATGTTTAATAACGACGTTTCGGAACTAGGTACGTTCCATCATCAGGTTTATTCTGTCAAATACAATGTTTTTTAAAACTATTGATTTACATTAATTAATGATGGTCAATTACAGATTAATTAGAAAAAAAAAATTATAAAGGAATGGATTATGTACCGGTGTAAAGAGTAATAAGAATTAATTAAAAAAGGTTTTATATAAAATTGAGAAGCAAAGATTATTTACCTGTAATAATTTATATATCCATATCACTAATATTTTTTGTTAAGAACACTCGATTTTTTGGAAGATATTTGTAGATGTTACGACTACACAAGACTTAAACACACTGATATAGAGTTCTGTCGGCCAGATGTGAGGGCTGATGTACGGAATTTTAGGCAAAAATGATTTTTTATGGCTCTTGTATTGGTAACATACCAATACGGAATTTTAGGCATGAATGATTTTTTATGGCTCTTGTATTGGTAACATACCAATACGGAATTTTAGGCAAAAATGATTTTTTATGGCTCTTGTATTGGTAACATACCAATACAAGAGCCATAAAAAATCATTTTTCCTAAAATTCCGTACATCATTCCTCACATCTGGCCGACAGAACTCCATATCAGCGTGTTTAAGTCTTGTGTAGTCGTAACATCTACAAATATCTTCCAAAAAAATCGAGTGTTTTTAACAAAAAATATTAGTGATATGGATATATAAATTATTACAGGTAAATAATTTTTGCTTCTCAATTTTATATAAAACCTTTTTTAATTAATTCTTATTACTCTTTACACCGGTACATAATCCATTCCTTTATAATTTTTTTTTCTAATTAATTTGTAATTGACCATCATTAATTAATGTTAATCAATAGTTTTAAAAAACATTGTATTTGACAGAATAAACCTGATGATGGAACGTACCTAGTTCCGAAACGTCGTTATTAAACATCTTCAAAAAACAAATTGTTTTTTATTATTGGATTTACTGTTCGGAAAAGAAACAATCAATATATATATGTATATATATATATATATATATATATATTTATTTATTTATTTATTTATTTAACGCCCAAGGCAATAATACAATATAATTACATTCTAAAGTGTACAAATTATAAACTAAAGATAATATGAGAAAATTTGAGTATTAAGAATTCATATATAGATTTGTATATACGAGTATACATAACACTTAATATATATATATATATATATATATATATATATATATAAACTACAAATATAAAACATTAAATAAAAACTAATAAAATTAAACATTTAATAAAAACTAATAAAATTAAACAGTTAATAAACTATAAATTACCACTTAAGACAGTCTTGAAGGATATTTTTCCTGGCTTGATTTTTTATATTTGACACCGACAGACCAAATATATCAATCACAGGAGCAAATTCATTTATTATTTTCGAAATTCTTTGAATCGTTCAAGAAGTTCAGGCACATCTAAAGCACCTTTCACAATATTTACTCCATAGCAGAAGGTGAGGTATTTTCTTCTAGCATTGAGTGGCGTAATGTTTAGATGGTTGTACATTTGGGACCGACTTATCTGAAGGATAAGTCGGAAGATATTATTCATGTATCGGCGGAATCTAACATGGTTGACAAATTTTTTCTGGACAGATTCAATTCTGTCAATTTGATATTGGTAAATCGGGTCCCAAATTATACACCCATACTCTAAAATTGGTCTAACTAAGGTATCAAATAGTACACTCAGGGTAGCATCATTTTGAAAATCTCCACTGTTTCTGAGCAGACCACCGAGTATACTATTTGCCCTCGACACAATATTGTTCAAGCGACCATCGAATGCTAGTTTTCTATCTATATATACTCCCAAGTCACGAATACCATCCGCCTGCGGAAGTACTTCTTCTGCTATGAAATAACGATGATTAGAGTAGCTTTCACTGCCGCGACAAAATTTAATAACTGCGCATTTACTAACATTCAGTTTAAATTTATTTATTTCACACCATCTAAATAATCGATTTAGGTCTTCCTGGAGCGCACACAAATCACTTTCGTTCCTTATGCGTATTTCGTTCCGTATATTTTAGAGTCATCCGCAAATAAAGAATACTCAGACGAGAAACCATTGCCAATGTCGTTCACAAATATACAAAATAACAACGGTCCAAGATGAGATCCTTGCGGCACTCCTGAAGAGACCGTAAATTCATCTGATATGGAATCAATTGATTTCACCTGTAGTTTTCTGCCTCTCAAATAGGATTCAAACCAATTATATAACCGGCCAGAAATCCCATATTTATTAAGCTTCATCAAGAGCACATCATGATTAACCAAATCGAAGGCTTTACTAAAGTCTGTGTATATAGCGTGTGTTTCCATTCCACATATGTCATGAGATTAGTAGTTGTAGACCTGCCTTTTATAAAACAATGTTGTTGATTAATTAGGGTGCTTCTAAACCAAAATTCTATTCTACTATAAAATTTTTTTTCAAATAATTTGGGTAGAGCTGATTGAATGCAAATTTGTCTGTAGTTACATACATTAGATTTCACACCTGATTTGAACACAGGGACAGCATATGCGTCTTTCCAGACAACTGGAAACACACCCCATTTCAAGGACTTATTGAAGATAAAACTTAAAGGTTCGCACAAGCCCACTGAACATTCTCTTAGTAACAAGTTCGGTATTCCATCTGGCCCAAATCCCATAGAACTGTCCAATGATAGCAATCCTTGGAGCAATTCATCAAAACTGATTTCGATTTTACTCAGGTTAGTGTTGCCATTGGACAGACCATTTAATAGTGCGTCAAATTCATTTGGTAGTAATTTTGATTCCCTATCATATGTGCTCTTGAAAAATGCCGCAAACATGTTACATATATTTTCTACTCCATCTGCCTTTTTGTCAATCCATTCCATAGAAGTAGGAATACCCCTATCAGATCTTTTTTTCATCTTAATGTATTTCCAGAAGTACTGAGGATTGTCTTTTATTTTTTCTTCTGCCCGAAAAGTGAAGTCATTGTAGCACTGAATACTCATCTTCTTACACTCATTTCTTAAGTTGCTGAAAGCTGTATAATCAGTTCCATAACCCTTTTGCTTATAAGTACTGTGAGCGTCTCTCTTTGCCTTCATTTTGCTAATTAAATCTTTGCTAAACCAGCACAGATATCTACTGCACTTCTTGCTTACTTGAGGTACTGTAGTAAATATTCCATCCCAGATAATTCTATAAAAATGAGTAATAATATCATCAATGTTATTCATCTGATACATAGATATCCAGTTCGCTTGCAAGAGAAGGTTATTGAGAGCGCCATAGTCACCCTTCTTGAAGTTGAAGTATTTCACTACTCTAGGTTTAATTGTATCAAAATATTTAATTTCTGTTCCAATTGCAGGATGATACTTGTCCTCCGGTACCAGGTTAAACGACTTCTTAACTAACAGATCACAATTAGTGAAGAAGTCATTTATGACAGCCCAATTAGTGAACAATGTAACTGAGTCACCAAAAAATTCTTCCGTGCCATTGTGGCTCTATCTAGTATCAGGAAGATTGGAGTCACCCATGAATAGAATTTTACAACCTGGATATTTCTTGACTATGTTAATAAGTTCATTAACGTGTTTCTCATAAATACATATATCGCTCAACGGAGGAATATAAACATTTCCAATAATTAATAGATCTGACCCTAACTTAATTTTTACAAATACTTGTTCGATATCTTGGTGGGTAACACTTTTCAGATTTGCCTGGATGTGTTTTTTCACTCCGATGAAAACACCTCCTCCTCGTTGCTTCTGATTAGGTACATTATCTCGATCTCTTCTAAACAATCTAGATGTATTATCTATCACTTCGCCATCAGCAATACTATTATTTAATACATGATTCGGAAATACAAATGATATCCACCCCACTAGACGCTGTTGTTGAATAAAACTCCTTAAGCTTTGTCCGTAAT